GGGGCCTCCCCAATGCCCAAGCCCAAGCACAAGCTCCACTGCGGTGTGGCAGCCAAGGTAACGAACAAAAATAGCCTCATGCGGCCTCTTCAGAAACTGTTCTTCTCACTAGTCACGGCTACTATAATGAACAGGCCATACATGGACTGAACACACACCTATGTTAAATTTTCAAGCAAGCGGTAATTCAGCTACTGACAGCTGAAGTCCCTCAGATGAACAGAGCTGGACTTGCACTTGTTATTTGTGGAACTTCTTAAGAGTCTGTTCAGATCTGGAGTGTACATACTGAAATAAACTGATTTGAAATAATGAGTATTGGTGCTTATGAATTATTTATTTTTTTTTAAATCTAGTCAGTTCTATATGACTGAAATATCCTTCCCGTCTAAAAAAATTCTTTTTAGTTTAGAAAGCACAATTCTGAATACAGGGTGCACCATTATCTCAAAGTATTCAATCATCACTTGCTTTTTAACAGCTTGAATCAGACATGCTTTCAGGTTTTCATCCAACTGCCAGTTAGAAACCGATGGCACTTCTGCCCTTTCCTCTCATTAGGGACTTGCTGTTCTGTAGCTGCAAATCTTCATCCCTCATCAGCCAGGGATACGAAAGCAGAAATCTCCTCTATAACCGCAGCATCATGTACATCCTATTAAAGAGGACGGATAACATATTCAAAAGTGCCTGAGGGCCACGTTTTCAAAGACATGTGTAGTGCTGAAAGATGCAGGTGACGGGCTCCAGGGACTTTCCAAAGCCCCCAGCTGCATAACTCCCATTGATTTCAGTTATTCAAATGAAAAGCTGTTTAATGTATTTGTTCTGGAGCTGAAGTTTCACTGCAAGTCTGGGAGAGACGTAATCCCATGGGCCAATTCTTAAAACTAATTCTCACTGATTTCAAAGGCAGGTAAATGACTAAATACTCAGATAAATCTAGCCCAGACTGAGGCACAAATTCTATCTAGGGTCTATCTCCCTCTGCAGTTAGGCACCCGTCTACTTTGAGGAGATGGGTTTTAGCATTGCAAACATTTTGGCTACACGTCCATTACACGGATGTCACAGAGGTCAACCCCTAAGTATTTCAGTATCACATCTTCTGCAGTAGAGGAATGGAAAGGAAATTAAAGATTTTTTTTTTTTCCCCCCCTGGAAATTGTCCAAGAATCAAGAAACGTATGTACTTTGTAGATGAGTGCTTCCAAAAAATATGCAAGGATGACAATTGCCAGCGTTACCAAATGAGGTAGTGAAGGAATTGAGGAATGTTGTGGAGGAAGACAGACAGAGGATACAAGAAAAAGCTAAACCAGGTGCCTCACTGGGAAAACCCCCACAATTTGAAGGAGCATGAAAGTTGAAGACTTGAAGTCAAGACAGATGGAGCCAATACATTCAAAGCCATTTGCAACTGAGCTTATTTCATGAGACTTCGCTATCCAGAATGGCCAAAATATTGTAAGGTTACATATTCTACCTCTGCCTCCTTAGGAAGTCTGTTCTGAAGGCATCCATCCTGGATGTGACCCTAAACACAGGACTGTAGAGGCCGAAATATTCACCCTGATCAACACTGCAGGCCCAGCTGGGTAAATGTACTGGTGAGTCTCAGGTCTGCTACTCTTCCACAGCTGGCAGCAAAAGGCCTGCTTAATCCTGAAAACTATTTTAAAGAGGGTTACGAAACTACCAGAGGCTTTCAGCCCCAGGGCTGGCTACCACCAATATGCACTTTAGCTGGATGACGCCCATTCAGCACCCTGCTCCTCCCCCCAAAGCATCCTGCAGTGAAATCCTTTTGTTTCCCAAGGAACAAGACAATACTCCAATGCTGCTTCTAGCCTTGCGCTTTTCTTATATTTCCAAACATTTGTATAAAACAATAAAATCCCTGGGATTTTTGGCTGCCTTCTTGCAGAAATTAAATTACTTTCCACATTCTTGAGTAAACGACAGAGCTGCAAGATACTGCCCCAATATCTCGCCTCTGTTGCAATGCTCCTGCATGCTATAAATACAACATTAATTTGTGCAACGTGTGGGCTCATGCTTGGAAATGCAGAGGTCTCTGCAAGCTAACATCCTTCCCAGGAAAAAACACAGCATGACGTATGACAGAAAATGGTGCAAGCAAGAGGCAGCCGAGGGTCTCTAAAGCGAAACAATGGCATATTTTTCAAAGATGCGCTGAATGTCCCGGTGGTACCGAGCAGAGAAAAGAGAGGATGTAAAGAAAAACCAGAGGGGTTTTGCGAGGAAGTGACTTGAGGATGAAAAGGGGTGGCAAGAGGCCGAGCTCGCTGCGGTGAAACGGCTGGCGTGCAGTCAGGCGATACATGGCTGCAGCCCAAAATGTTAAAAATCCTCTGGCGTCTACCACCATTCGTTTGGGACTGATTTCATCTGCAGACTTTGGGATAACTTAGCACAGCTAGTCAAGATAGCCAGGACACCCAACCCCTGCTTTTTCTCACTTTATGGCTTTTAGGTGTGGACTGTAACACATCACTTCAGCAGCGCAAGACAGATTTAATGAATCAGTTATTGCACTGGACTTGAAAAAAATGGATTGTTTTGATTGGGTTGATGGTAGGGTTCCACCCAAGATCCCTGGGAAAAACTAATTAAGGGCACCTGCTCAGGCCATCTCACACAGTGAAATCAAGCAAACTGGGGAGAAGCAGCCATGCTGGGAGTTGCTTCTGGGAAAGGGATCTCATGCCTCCGGGAGCTTGGGCATAAGGGAGGATTCACCTGGGATTTATTTCATTTTTGAAACCACAGAAACTCAACTATTTGATCACCCTCTTATCTCCAGTAAATACTTCCACTATTACTTTATTTTCTTACTATGCATTCTTTGATTTTATGCTTACTACCTTGTTGCCATATGAAGCTAATTGATTTTATGCTTAATGCCTTGTTACTCTATGAAACTAATTGATTACGCCCATAAAACCAGCAGGGTACACACAATCTGATGGTTGAGGTAGGATCTTCCACCAGATTTAAAAGACAGCTGGAATTCTTGGTAGCTGTCTCCTTTTTCAGCGGCCTTAGGCCTATGCATCTCATTAGAACAGGACACCACCGATGACTGCCGAAGACCACCCAGAGCCTCCCCCGGACAGTCTTTGTGGATTTCAAACAGCTCCTCCTATTTGGACACAAGGCAAGGGACGCATCCTCAGTTCCCAAAGGACAACGTTTCTACCTCAGATCTCCCAGCACAACTACTGCCCACACCAAGGGCTGCTACAGCCCTGCGGGTAGGGTTACACAGGCTGCACCTTCCAAACCACTTGCAGAGACAGCATGCGTAAGAGTTGTTATTTCTTAAATTTGTGTGTTGGATGGTTTGCTAAAATTAGGAAAAAGTATATTCCAGAGCTGGAACATTTATGGCTTCTTTACCATTACTCTGTATTTTAATTCTTAAAAATAGATTTAAGTGACATGATAAGTAGGGTCCTGCTTAATCTATTTCAGCCTGTTTGCCACACTCCTGGTTTGGCCTGTTTGGCTTGTTAATTTAGAGATGCATAAAACCATCTGCTGCACTGTAGACTTTGTTTTAAGCCTCAGAGGAAACAAACCACACAAACAAATGAAATTCACTGTCATTTCTGTTAGAATATATGTATTTACAGCCGCCAGAGCAGACCTCTAATGTCAGTACGGGTTCTTAACTATTTACAATACTGTTAGAAAAAGTCAGTGCAACTGAATTTATATTGCACGAGGGATTTCCTTAAATTGTATTCCACCTCTCAATTAAAGTGAAGAACAGTGACATTCTATACATTGTTAAAAAAAAAATGTAATAAAGAAAGAAAAAACCAAGCTTCATAATTAAAAAAATTTATCTTGGCAAAAATACATCCCAGGCAAATGTACCCAATAGCCTGGATTTCTGTCCCTGTATCTGGCCCTATGGCTTGCAGTGCCCAGACGTCACCTACAGACACTCAGCCTCTTGACCTGACTGCAAACCTCAGCAGCCTTACTCTACTTGTCAGAGCAGACCTAATGTACTCCACTGAGAACACACATCCACTGAACCTAAAGTATGTTTTACTGAGAAGAGACTCCTGCCCCGGGTGAGAATGAGGAGGAAGAAAGTCATCCCCCAACGTTGCCTATGAAGGGGGCTACAGCTCACTTCCATTTTTTGGCCAGAAGAATAAAACATATTTTAATTTTGATCTTTAGTAGACATGATTTTTCAAAACTTTATTATTTTCCCACAAAACAGAGTCCTCGCTTATTGACCGGGGTACTAGAGGGATGCTGTGTCTGCTGCGCTAATATTTAGAAAGAAAAAATGGTTCTTTCAAATACAATATTCTCTAGTGTCTGCTTTCATCACTCTACACTATATAGTCTGTTGCACAGACTATGGTTCTGAACATTAAATATTTAACCAAGGAAACCTAAAGATGTCTGTCATGGAGTAAATACTAAATTGATGTAAGGAAGTTCAGTGATATACTGCATAACATTTCACGGCAGGGTGAGCAAGGAGTAGGTAGGTGGCCTGGGACCTAAAGTGGTTGTTGAGGAACCAAAGAATTTAACTGAGTAGTTTTAAAAACTCATAGGCCAGTCGAAGTTTCTGATAGAACCTTATTTGAAGACAGTTCTCCAACCCGTTTTTCAGCAGGGGGCTTAGGTTAAGGGAATATACAGCTAAAACGTAATGACTTCCGAGAACCTGAGCCCCCGACCCTGTGCCCCCATCCACCAAAGCATGTTAAGGGGGACTTCAAACATTTTAAGAGTCCCACCGTCAGCTTCTTCCTTGGCCCCTTTTTCTTCTTTTCCTTCTCCCCTTTTGGCTTTTCTGAAAGTGTCCTGGGTTTTCCTCGTAGAGTTATTTTATCTCCCGCCATGAGAAAAATCTGTTATGTCCCACTCCAATGGCTAAAGCAACCTACATTCACTGTGCTCTCAGCGCCTTCCCACAGTGCCGTTAGCAGGGTTGTACTCACAATATTCATCAGGGTCAGCAGGTACTTCTGAACATGCTCTTTCCCATGGAATTGAACAACTGAGTCATCAACCCCCAGAAGGACTTCAATGTTGTAATCATCTTCCGTCGCATGCCTTCGATAGCGCTGCCTCGATCTATGCACCTGGTCTTCAATAAAGCTCAATGCACTGTCGAGACTATCCAAATTAGTGAGGTTAGCCGCTGAAATCAAACAGACAAACGAGTTATCAACCAGGACAGGCTCAGGCTCAGGCCTCAGCTACACTGACATAAATGTGAAGTAGCAGCGTTTGTTATGTTCTGCGTCTTACACAACAGCATTAGTTTCAACTTAATGTCAATTAAAAATGACCTAAATGAGAGAGAAATCTGACCCAAAAGGTTTTTACTTTGCAAAGTAAAAGCAATACTTCATACAAAGTAATACTGTGTAATAAATGCAAGGCCAAAAGGAGAGTAAGTCACACCAGTGTCTTGATGGGAAGAGGGGAGCGGTTTGCAGTACAATACTTGTGGCTTAGAAGTACTTGTAACAAAAAAATGCCGTTGGGGGGTCTTCTGCTACCGAGGATATCCTCCATGTCGGAAGAGTTAAAGACAAACGCCGTACTTCAAAATCTGATCTGACTGCCCAGAGAATCCTATTCCAAAGCAAGTGCAGTTGCCAATACAGCTTTTTCTATCTGGGCAGGTAGTATCAAACCAACCCCCCCACTCCAGCACATCATCTCCATTCCTAGATACACACATGCAATCCCACAGTAGCGACATGGATCCTTTTTATCGTTACAGCTCAGGAACACATTTTAGATATTAAATTAAATATAGCTATGTTTACATTTTTTTTAACAGCTTTTCATCCTTCATTCCCAATTTGCTGTGTCACTTTGCATTACTGCCTGTCAAAGACCAATCCATCAGACACAACAGCAGCCAACTTTATTACTAACGATTTCTAATCGTCCCTGTGATACGAAAGCACATTCTCTGACAGGACGGGATGCAGTTAATGGGGCACCTACTTATGAAAAATTAACATGAAAATATGGAATCTTGACATTTCACCCTTTAGAATAACAATGATCAGCATTAATATCATGATTATCTTTTGCATTACAAGAGCCCTGGAAGCCCCACCGAGAACCTCCCGATTTCAGAGAACGTCAAGAGAAGGCTTGCTCTGAGAGGCAAAGGAGGGCAGCAAGAGCGCTGCGGAATGATTAAAGGCTCCCAGTGTTCAGTTCACAGGAACATAATCTGAAGCAAAGGAAGGAAGCTTGAGCCGCCACCTTCAAAGCAGAAATAAGAAAGAACTCTTGGAAACATTACAAAAGTGGATTCTCCATCTTCATTTATTGAAGTTTTCACATCAAAACTGGCTGCTTGGGAAGGGATGAATGAGTCACCACTGGGCTCATTACACGGACGCCCGTGCTCTTGCCCCCAGACCGCTGCCTTGGGCGGCCATTTCCACAGGCCCTGCACAACGCGCAGCCCGCGCACAGCCCCCGGCAGGTCCCCGCTCTGGGGACACTGGCCCGGCCCGTACCAGCCCGTACTGATCCGTACTGATCCATACCGATCCGTACTGATCCATACCGACCCGTTACTGCCCTGTACCACCTCTGGCTGCCAGCAGGGACGCAGGCCCGGCCTCCCTGCTCCCCACCACGTCCCTCAATGCCCTGTGCTCCCGGCCATGCCACACGTGGCGAGATGCTCATCTCTGTGCCTCCCAGAAGAGCCCTCCAGCCAAAGGGCAGTCCCCAAAAGACACGTGTGTCTGGGCAGCTTCTTATCATTTCCCCACCAAGGTTCAAGGACACGCTTGCCACAAGACCCACAGCTGCACTCACCGCGCTGGCAGAGGCCGCCTCGCTCACCAGACAGACAGAAGGTCCCACGCGGGGGTCCTACACCCACATGGAGCCACGATGTCCTCCTCCTGGGAGGGCAGCATTTAATGCAGCTAATAAGCACAGCCACCACGTCCTCGTTGCCAGCCTCAAGGCTCCCCACAGCTTCTGGGGCCGCAAGGTTTTAAAATGAGTCTGGTGAGAATCCATGATTCAGTGTGGAAATTCACGCCTGACGCGGAGCGCAGTGTCACTCCCGGGTGTGCGGTGGAGCGGGAGCCAGCCTGGCCTAGCAGCAATGGAGACAGCTCTTTATTGGGGCCCAAAGCCCACCAAGCCGCCGGCTCCAGCCCTGCCTCATGCCTTACTCCACCAGGGAACTTCACCGTTAATCCTTGCCAGCACCCAGAATTGCCTGGCTACGGCAGCAGCCTCAGGGGATTTGCTGTGGGACGCTGGGGCAATCCTACATTCATGATCTGTAAGGCAAGGCACAGTTACTGTAAAATTTGACCATAAATCTTAAAAGCTCTCTAGAAAAGTACGATTCAGCTGGCAGGGGCTGCAGGTCGCGTCCCCTCTCTGCTTCTTACTGAACCAAGAGGAATTAAGAGCAAGGCCAGGGTTATCTGACCTGCGTCTTCGGAACCACGGTGCTGGGCAGGCAGGGAGAGCCCCAGCCCCACGCCGCGGGCACAGCCGGGCAGCTCTGCCGGCGGAGGGTGCTGCTCTTTGGTGCATGGGTGCCTGTCAAGGTATCTACAGCTTCCCTGCTTTCATTTCTTTCCCGTATGTGTCAAAGTCAAACTATCCCCTGATCTTTAGTCCTGCTGTGAGTAAATCATCCAGAAGCAAAATGTGATCCTGCCATCCTGCAGTGAAAACCGCTTGTCCCCACTCTCTGCTCCTCGCTTCATCACTGTCACACTGCAACCCGTACAGCCCCGCCAGCTCCTGAGGAAAGTTATCAGGAGGTTCCCTGGGAGCCACCTCATTGCCAGTGGGTGCCAACCAACTACTTTAATTTTTGCTGGGAGCATAAAAATTCCCCACACTCACATTTACCTTCACCCCTGGGGTGCCACCCCCTCAAACCGACATGCCCGGCAGGCCCTGGCACCTCCGAGACACTGACCCAACATGCTTCCCGGCAGGGAGCGACCTGCTCCCGCTGGCGCCAGAATCACCCCAAGACCAGCAGCACAGCCCAAAACATTTACAACAGTAGCTGCAAGATTTTTGATTTGTATCCCAATTTCCCAAGTGCCCTTTCCCAGGAGGGTCCCCTGGGACAGGCAGGGACACCTCCACACGCATCCCGACCACGCGCCGCACGGACGCCTCCTCTGGCGCGGCTCTGCCTCTTGGACGATGAGCTGTTGGATCTGCCGGCCCAGGCTGCGTTATTCCGATGTTGGGTTTGCTCCTAAATGACAGCTACATCCAAATCAAATTAATACCCGTACCTTACCAAAGAGGAAGTGAAACAAAGCTCCATCTGCAGTAAATGAGGCTTCCCTCAGTAACATCAGTGACTGTCTTGTATCAGCGTGCTGCTAACGACACGCTAGCAAAGCTCAGGAGAAACCTTGAAGAACTACATTAGACACCAAACTCCTCCTTCCCATTTTCCATGTTACCTTCCTTCCCATAGCCCCTGCGCTTTGCATGGTCACATCCCAAAAGTCATCTCAAACTGCACTGTTTTACTAAATCATCCCAAGACCTCTCCATCATTTTCAGCAACTTTTGCCAAATCCGTGCATCAGACACTGATTGCTGGTGCCAACTTCGTTCCCCATCTCCCAAGAGCAGACGCTTGTCATTTGCAGGGGCTAACGATAGCCTGGTGTTGAAACCTCCTCCTTGCTCCTGCTAGGAAAGATGTGCAGCTGTGAAAATTAACCACGGAGAGACAAGGTTATGTTTTTCTCTTCTGCTGCTCATCCAGAATAAATTAAAAGGGCAGCAGCACTGTAACAGTTCACTCAAAAATCCCTCAGAAAACCCCTTTTTTTCTAAACACTCTGTGATATTTCAGTGCTTTTCTCCTAACACTGCGGACTGTATTCCCGTGAAGGAGTAAGAGGTGCCCAAGCTGTTGACAGAAGGGAAAGCTGTGCTTCTGGCTTAAGAATGCAATGGGGAGCGAGGCAGCCTGGCTTGCGCCCCTGCCCGATGCAGACTTTCCCTGCGGCGCTGGGAGATGCAGAAGGCAGCCGGGAGCTGGGCAGCAAAACTGCCAGGGGAAAAGCACGTGCACAATCCTGCTTGATGCTGCAGCCCGCTGGGGTTTTCTGGGGGGGTTCTCCATTTGTGTTTGCAGTTAATGCAGGCGGGTGATCCTACCTGCCCCAAGGCAGCAAAGCCCTAGTCGCTTGCTGAGTTCAGAACCAGACGACGTCCCCCGCTGTGACAACCCCAGTGATGCATTAATATATGCAGAGTACATCGAAACCTAAGGAGGGGAGGTCTTTATAGCATGCAGGTGCCAATTGCTCACAGCTTTGTATGTCACACAAGATCCCCCTCCCCTGCTCCCTTCTCCTGAGCAATGTCCAATACCCCAGCCTTTTACCTAAACCATTCCACTTTTCAATCTGTTTCTTACTTTTTGTATCTGGGCTCTACCTGAGTTTCCACATTCACTGGGACTGGAGGGCTGAGCAACCTGTAGGTACCATGGCAGCATCACGCAGCCTGGCTCTGAGCCCCATCTCTAGGATGGGGAAAATTCACATTGACACAAACATCAGTTTTGCCTTTGCAGGTCTTCTCCATCTGCATCCATCTGCGACAGCTTGGGATGTCTGACAACACCTTATTTTCTGGGAATTTTTGCCTTGCTCATTAATCTTTGATATCATGTGCTTTACAGAAACCTAACTACATGACATCTCCCAATTCTGCCTCACCCGTCGTGGCAGGCAAAGCTCAAACAGATGCCACGAGTTACTGAGGCATGAACACGCTGCCTGCCACGAAAGCCACTTCTCCCCACGTTTTCTGTCACTCCCTTCAGGACATCCACCAGAACCATGGCTGCTGGCTTCTGATCTTGTTTTGTTTCTTTGTGACCCCTTTCAAAAAGGCTCAGGGAAACGTGGCTGCACCTACAGTTCCTAAGGAGTCCCCAGTGAAGCTACTGCACTTTAGCAGCACCAGCTTTGGGTTCCCCCATCTCACAGCACCAATATTGTCCTAATAAAGCAGTTTCTCATTTTTTGCCTCCTCTTTCTGGTAGGCGGAAGGGGACTTTGTGGCAAACCAAGAGCAGAGACCAGGACAGGCAGCTGGGAGACTGAACCGCACATTGTGTTCCCAGCCATCACCTGCAGCTTCTCG